ATATATTTCTATAGCAGGGATAACTAATTAAGCTTCTAAATGAAAACAAATAAACCGTTTATTACTAAAAATTATATTTAATTGAATAAATTGTACCACAAAGCGAAGTCTTTATTTCTAAATTTCAATTTCTTCATTATATATCATATATAGATGACATATATGATTTACATTAAATATACACTTTTTATCAGTATATAACTTTTCTTGACAATTATTAACTCAGTATTATAATCTCTGTAAAGGCAGCTTCATTTGTTCCGAGTAAATGTACATATATGAAATATAATAAATACTTCAAGATATTCCAATTGCTTCATTGTTTGATGTATTATATCATTTTAGCTTAATTCTTCATAATTAAATTAATTAGTGATAACTATAGCTGTATATTTTCATAAACAGCTAAATTAAGTTTTCAAACAGTTTTTTTTTTTTAATATATATATATATGTTATAGATGTTATTAATTTAGTTTTTCTTTTATCATATACTTACATTGATTATATATATAGAAATATATTCGTTTAAATACTTCTATTTTCTTTGTTTTACCACTCATATGAGCATACACATACATACATACGATATGTATATGCACTAGAAAAAGCTATTGCAATTAAGCACGTTCTCTTAAGTTTCTTTAAACACTTTTTATTAAGTAAATGCAATTATCAAAAAAAAAAAAAAATGACAACTATCAAAAACGTTTGTGTTTTTATATCTAGTTTTTTTTTTAGTTATATGTATTTGATATAAGTAATATAGAGTTGAACATGATAGATGAAGGCTTATAAATATTTTTAATTATGTATATTGCAAAGCTATATCTAAATTCTTTGTCTCAGATTCTCAGTTTCCACTTGAATTCCCATATATTTTATGACTCCAAACATCCTTTCATATCAAATAATTTTACAACTTAGTGGAATTCCCTCGGCATATCGCCAGTTCGATCAAAATATTTTCACGCTGGCTACTCTCATAATATATCATAATCGTAATAGACGCCCGAACGGGATTCTGGGAAACTGGCAACAAAGTGCCGTAGTGTCCCGAGTGCGTGTCGGCAAATGCCCACAAAGGACACGTCGAATGTCCTTTGGCACATAAATTATCGGCCAAAAGACATAATATGAATTGTATTTGGCTCTGGCCTCATTGTAACTGTTTCTGTTTGTATCTGTGTATCTTTGTATCTTTGAGTGCATATTGTGCTGACTCGTCGAGTGAGTGTGTGAGTGTGACACAGTTATGGTCTACTATATATGGTCTGCCATATCATCTATTGCCCAACCGGAAAACATTAAAAAAATTTGTCAGTTGGCAAAAATGCTGGAAAACTAAAATAAAAGTGGTAAAAAATTATATAAACTTGATGAAATTTGAGTCAAATGCTTAGCCGAGTTATTTCATTTTCGCTTTTTGCGCTCTTGAATGACAGCTGGGAAAAGCCCAGCCCAGCATTGCGCTCAATAGCGGAAAACCCCCCGGAAATGCCAGCAGGTATGCGACTGCTGCTCCGACTCCTCCTTCTCCCTTCCTCCTCTCGCCCAGCTCATCTCACTCCTTTTCTCAGTTGTTCTGGGAAGATATTAAAAACTGAGAGACTAGAGAAAACAAATTATGAAAATTTCATAATGCATTTCGATAAGTCAAACGTCTAATGCATTATTATGAAAATTTTCATTCAGCCTCGGGCGCCCTTTTCTCTCTTATCGAAGATCTTCGACGAGGTACAAAATAAAAGACACCCCCCAGCGTGTGCCAACTAATTCGAATCGAAATGTTCTTCTTCTTCTACGATATATACATATATATTTTTTGTTTTTTGAAAATTCCTTTGCCGCCTCGTTTTAGATAAGATTTTAATCTTTATGTGAAAAACAACATGTAATTTGTTGTTCGTGTGCGCATGTGTGTGTGCGTGTATGTGTGTGTGTGAGGGCCACGTAGACCTGCTTAAGGTGCGCCTAGGCAGGCTACGGGACTCATCTTTGAGATAGAAATCTGAACAAATTTATAGCCCATAAGAAGAAACTAGAAATCTATATAGAAAATACTTTTAATAAATAATTTTCATAAATTTTCCCCAAGAACTCAGATAGTGACAATGTTGGAAATTGTCCGATTGAACTCGATTGAAATGCCGCCCTGTGTATAAATCAAAAAAGGGCCGATAAGTTCGTCTTACATGAAATATTGAAAAATGACGAAAAATTATGACGGCCCCGTTGGCTTCTCTTATTTCTACGCCAAACACCCCACTCTCGAACAGGTGTGTGTGTGTGTGTGCGTGTATGTGTATGTATGTTTGATTTGTATTGAATTTCTAAGCGTAGACACAAATCGCTGCTGCATAGCTGAGATCGTGTGTCAGCCCGAAAAGGTGCAATGTCCGCCGCGATTGCAACACCACACAGAAAACACTCAAAACTGAGTGGTTCGCTCTCTCTCCCATTTACTCACACTCTCGCTCTGTGTGTGTGTGTGCGTCAGCCAATGAGCCACAGCTCAGTTTGTTCGCATTGTTGCCGGCAGGACGCATGCACGCACCTTTCGCTGGTCATAAAACTGTGCTTAAGGAAGCTGCTACCTGACCATCTCGCACACACACTCACACACTTACATCAAGCAGCAACAACAACGAAAGTCACTCAATGCGCGCTCTCACACTCAAAACGGCGCTACGCTGCGCTCAGAGCGCGCAGCCGCAAACGCATTGTGCGAGTGTGTGTGTGTGCGGTGCGCACGGTATAGTCATCTCGCTCTGGCACAGGGCGCACGCGCTACACAAGTTGAGTGAGTTGAGTTCGAGTGGCTGGCGCTGCCGGCTGCGCTGCCGGCGTCGTTTTTAACCCTATCGACAAATGCTAAATGAAATTTCCTATGTTTTTGTATCGTTTCAGAGTTGCAAGCGACCATGCGCGCATGGCTTCTACTCCTCGCAGTGCTGGCGACTTTTCAAACGATCGTTCAAGTTGCTAGCACCGAGGATATATCGACCAGATTTATCGCAGCGATAGCGCCAACAACAACAACAACAACGACGACTAAGGCCATAATTAATACTAAAACAGCAACAGCAGCAGCAACAACAACAACAGCATTAGCTAAAGCATTTAATCCATTCAATGAGTTGCTACTCAATAATAACAACAACAAGAGTGATAGTGATATAAATATGAAACAGCAACAGCAAACAAGCGCCGTTGCATTAAAACAATATAACGAAGTGCATAAATCAAGAACAGACCAATTAGAATATTCCAAAAATTCCAAAAATAAGCATAAGCAGCATAAGCATACTAAATCAACTAACAAAATGGCCAAAAACCAGCCAAAACAACAACAAACACACACAAAAACAACAACTACTACTACAACAACAACAACAACAGCAGCGCCGCATATACAAGTGTTTGGCCCCGCCCCCGCTTCAGTTGACGCCGCCCCATTCGAGAGCACGGACAGCATACTGGGGAAGTACGAAGTGCCGGGCATCGCGGACGCAATCATCGCCGAGGACGAGCCAGCCACCTACAGCAGCAAGGAGATCATCAAGGACAAGGTCAAGCCGGATCCATCCACTCTAGTCGAAATCGAGAACAGCCTGCTCTCGCTGTTCAACATGAAGCGGCCGCCGAAGATCGACAGATCCAAAATCATCATACCGGAGGCCATGAAGAATCTCTACGCCCAGATCATGGGACACGAAATCGATTCCGTGAATATACCCAAGCCGGGACTCCTGACCAAATCAGCGAACACTGTCCGAAGTTTTACACATAAAGGTGAGTGCATGAAACTTGATTCAGTTCTAGATTATCCATATGAATGCTCTATATAATATATACACCAATTACCATATATATCACTTGAGTGGGAGAGAGAGAGGGAGAGGCAGTGTAGAAAGAGCTTTGGCTAGGCTTAGCTAATCTGCATATTCTATATGCAATAGTTCACCTGATATTCAGAACTGTATCTAGAGCTAGTTGAGGCATCTCGTATTTGATATATTCACAAACATTTTAGTTATTTTCCAGTTTCATCGTAATGTTTCCGCATAAACCATTTTGATGGAATAATTTTGATCTCGAATTTGATAACTTTTTCCCTAAATACCTTTTAACATAGTATATTATATTTTTATAATCTAAAAAGTAGAGATTCCTTAAGATGCCAAATTCTTGAATAGAACATAAATAATAAATATATAAAGTAGTTGAGGCATCTCGTATTTGATATATTCACAA